GAAAAATAGATCTCTCTGGTCCCAGCTGGTGCATGGTTACTAATAAACCTGCCCATGATCAGAAAGGAAAGTTAATAAGTAACACAGCTTTACTTTTGGTGCCAAGTACAGCTGACTAAATAGAAGTTTGAAATCTTTACTGATGCTTTTCTCTCTCATCTTCAGTCTCTTTATATGACACCTCAGTGCCATTTTACAATTGGTCAATTCAGAGTCAAAATCGGGGGTACTCGGAGTACTATGATGAATCAGGTTGTCCTGGGTCAGGATTCTTAGCTGCCTAAGAAAGAAGGTATGTTTATTAAGTGAGATTGAGCCTGATGCTGCAAAAATAACAGAAGAAAAGCACAATACTTCCCCCTGTCCTAGCAATTATCTGGCATGGAATCTATTTCTGAGCCAAAACAGTAATGGATGACTGCAATATGCTGTGCAAGCCCAGACTGCAATGGGCATACCTGTGGATGTTACATCTTTATTTCTGTTATATTATGATCAAAAATTGCACCTCCTTGTGCAGACACTTGTGCTTGCAGGAAATAAAGATCCCTTTTGGACCTCTGGAGAGGTGCGTAGGTGCCCGGTGTGGTGCTGTGCAGCGTGAGCAGTAGCTGAAGTGGGCAGAAAGAATCGCATTGATGCAATATTAAGTTTTATTAGACATAACTTAATGACACTAGCAAAATTGACATTTACATATCATCATGGACTTTTTCAATCACAAAAATCATGAACATCAACATATTAAGTGTTAAATTAGCTTCCACTTATATTAGCATACCTTTCTAAAAACAGATTGTTTTAAAGTGTGCAGCTGCATGTTACATTCACATAATAAAGCAAACAAACTTCAAATAAAAAAATAAAACAAATATGTTAATACAAAATGGATATTTACAGACAATGAAGTTCACCACTGCCCAAAGAACCTCCCAGGGCCCCTGGGCCATTCAAGTCATACTAGCCCATCCCAGAGGTATATGTGCCTGGTACTGATCCTTGGCAAGAGGGAACTTCTCACACGGTTTGCAGCAGCAAGAATCACATTTCCTTGTTAAATTGCTATGAACTGGTCCAGTGGTGGATTCCATGGAAACCAGAGGCAATATCAGAACCCAGAACTTCTGCCTCCTGTTCCTCTATTCCACCTGCCTGATTTGTTTTTGAAGTAACAAGCACAGTACCTACCTGAAACTCTTCATCTCTGCTATCTCCTGGCTACCTAGTTGTGATGGCTGTGCGAAGAACTGGGTTTTGTTTCTACTTTTTGCTTTCATTCCTATTGATCTCTAGCTACTTCTGTGGCACAGGGATGTGTTGCAGGCTTCCCTGGGCTTTACCTCATGCTTTCCATGAGTAGCAGGGTGGCTCTGGCTCTGCTTCACCCACTGGGAATGGATACAAAAGGGCAAACAGGCAGCATCAGGCACAAATCAGGACTGGAACCCCATCTCAAAGCCTAGTCTAGGCTTTGTTACAGGCAAGACCTTCTCTCCCATGTCTTTGCAGGCCAGATAACTGTGATGCAAACTGGACAGTAATAGCGAATAAGCATTTCCAGAATTTTATCTCATGAGGAAGAAGATGGTGCGTTAGGCTCCATTTCTATGGCTGATTTTCACAAGTTGAGTCATGAGTGCATCTACACTGTGCACCTACGTACTGAGGAGCCAGATTCAGCCTCACTAGTGTCACGTTAGTAGCAGTGTTGCTGCCCCAGCCTGCTCCTAAGGTTGTGAACCAGGCAGTTCAGAGTGAGGTACGCTGCATAAAGGCTTTCTTTTGGCAATAGGAGCAACGTTTATCTAAAGGAATGGCTCAGTCACTGGGACTTGTCCTCAATGAGAATTGCACCACTGAACTCAGCGGGAGTATTCTTGAGAAACAAAAAAGCAGAAGAGTCTCAGTCCTCACCTTGGGGCTGACTTGCTTGCTGTGGGTTGGTGTTAGACACAGAGTAGCTTGTTTCTGTTGTTCTTCATAACTCAGGAAATACTAGTTCAAATGATGCTGTCAGGGAAAAATCAATCACCCTTAGTTATTTGCTAAAATACTTTGGAGATTTTTCTGCTTCCTTTCCAGTGCGTTCCCTCCACTATAGTGGGCAGCAGCATTATTAACACAGAGACCTTTGCTCAAACAGTTGTCTAAACCAGAATTTTAAGTTTGCACGTGCAGGTCAGGAGCACCCATCAGCTGACAGGAGCAGCAGCATGGGGTCCTCCACACAAATGAGCTCCAGTAAACCAGGCTCAGACAGAAATCCCTGCCACTCAACACCTTCATGCTGAGTAAAATTGAGGAACCCTCAGGAAAAGAAGGGGATTCATTCAGTAAATTATTCATTGAGCTATTCGCTTACATCTATAATTTATTTGCTATGAGACAAGGGGCCAGTCACCCCTTTACAAAAGGCTGGCAAAAGTTCAAGCACCAGTTTGTTTCTACTGAAACCCTACTTTGAGATTGTATCAAAGATCTGATGCTTTTGTTCTGGCTCTCTGCAGGGTCAGTTCTCACATGCAGTGATATAAAAATGTGGAAAGGAAATGTCAAACAGGTGGAAAGCTTTTTCTCTCTCTTCAGAGAAAAAAACTGATTTAGTATTTGCTGACAGGACAAATGTACTTATTACTGCGACTGACTCCATAGCATTGAAATACAGAAGTAATAGCATTCAATAGTGTTAGAAAACATAAGACAGATCTTTCTCTACTTCTGTTTTACAGCTGCTTTGGAAGATGTGGCATCTATAGCTGCTTGGGGTGCTGTTCATCCCCCACACCACACACACCAGGGCCTCCCATCATGTACATTGTCAGGCATTTTCTACACTACCATGCACACCAATAAAAACCCCAATTACAGGAGTATTTTCTTCAATGCTACCTTATATAGCAGGGCATGAGGAGATTAATAGGAAAGAAATGAAATGCCTTGAGAAAGAAACAAGTATTTGTAGGACAGGATTTTTCTTCTGCTTTCATGGAAAAGCAGAAAAGTGCTATAGAAACAGTGGTCTTGTCTGACTAGTCTTCATCAGCTGGCCACATTTTTACTGACTACAACAAACCCCCCAAACAAATGTTTGTATTTATTCTGTGTGCACTGTTTGTTTAGAGGTTGGGGGGTGTTGTTGTTGTTGTTTTGTTTGTTTTGTTTTTTTTTTTAAATCCAGTGCAATAATGCCTACAATAAATGCTTTCACATTGCCTATTCTGGAAGTCTGCCCAATGTCTTTAAAGTAACTATCCAGAAATACAGAGCTTGTTTATTTAAAAGTCTTCTGGGAAATCACTATTGCTCCTGATGGAGAATCCCAAATACTGCAATTCTAAGGCACAAGAGTCTATTTAGGAGATATTTTTATCCTCTAAAAAGAAGATCCCATTTTCTACAGGAAAATAAGCCATTAGATGGAAATCCTCACATACGGTAATTTTTACTTATGTAAGTACTTCCTTAAAGTCACTGGGACCATTCTGAAAGCAAGAATAACCAAATCACTCTGTTTTCAATACTTAGGCATCAAACTACTGTAAAGCAGAAAACAAAGGCGTAACAAAAAATTACTGATGAGCTTACTTCACATCAGTTGACTTCATATCATTAGCAGTGTTACTGAAAGTCCTGTGCAGTGCTAGAGCACCTTCTCTCCAGAGATTTTTAAAGCATTTTCAAGGTAGTGATGATCATAGCTTCAGCCCACCACTGCCTGGCAGAGACATGGAGGGGCAAGAGCTGGTGTTGAAGGTTGTGGTTCTCAAAGACTCACTCTAACCAGTAAGGGATACTGCCTCCCCAAACCAGGGTAAACATTTCCCATAGGAAGCATGGAGTTAGGGGAGGAGAAGGAAGCAGCCCTGGCTGATGTTGATTGCAGATAAATCTCTGTGTGCTCTCAAAGATCAGGACAAAGAGGTCAAGAAGTTGTTCCTTAGAAAGAAAATCTCCAGTTTCACAAGTGCAGCTCCTGATGTTGCAAAAAGTTCCAGAAACCACAGAAATTGCTTATGAAGCCAAGAGTGGCTCCCTTTTATGAGGGCTTCCAACATCAGGCAGGTAAACATGGAAGGAAATCCATCAAATGACTAGTGGGATACTGCAGGCGAGGGGAAGGCATCCTTTGCAGAAGAAAGAAGTGCTCTGAGTGTACATTAGCCACAGGTGAGAAAATTTTTGCTGCTAATATATTGGGCCAGGGCCTTGGCTGGTGATGGCAGTGTCATTACAGCATCTCCAATTCTAGTTCCTGTTCCAGGGTTCAAACTTTTAAGACTCATTTTATCTGACAGATAAAGTACCTTTAAAAGACAGTGTAGTAAATACATTAGTCTCTTAAAATCCCCTGAACTTGCTAAATCACTTGTAATTAAGTAGCCTCCAGGCAATAGAAGCAAATCCTGTTTATTCTGAGGCATCATCAAAGAATATGACAGCACCATGTGACTGCAGGCAGGTCGGCCTAGTGTAGCACATTAACAAACACCCATGGTTGCCTTAATCCAAGGCAATCTGTGTAGCCAAGAGACATGCAAATCACTTAGAAACTGCTGATCCTCAGCCTCCAACCTATGCCTCCTTTGTCATGTGTGGATATCTGTGAGAGAGGTGCTATTTCCAAACTGTATTCCCTGCTTTCCAGTTCGGAGTGCGTGGGAGTGATCATCAAAGCTGAAAGCACTCCAGCCTGGAAACTACCAGTTAACAAGGAATAGCTGATAGTAGAAAACACATGAAGCAAGTAAAAGCAGGTATCTCAACACAGGCACAAGAGAGGTGGATTTGATTTGTACAGCTGCCCTGGGGCAGGTAATTGTCCAAGTGCAATCTGGAGCCACACCTGTGAAAAACTGGGAGGGAAGGAGGAGCGGGTAAGTGACAGAGTAGCATCTAACAGAGCCCAGAAGGGCTCATTTTTGATGCCTGAACCTGTCTCAAGCACAAAATGAAGTGTCTGTCTCCTATATCCCCTATGGCTGAGCCTCTATGCAGGTGCATTATTCAGCCTGCTTGGGCACCCAGGTGAATCTCCATCCTCCATCATCATCCCTGCGCACGAAGGCTTGTCCTTGGTGGAAGGTGTGCGTTCTCACATTGCGGTGAGGACTTAGAGAAGTTGTGAAGGCCACTTCTGTTTTGTTGGGTGACAAATCGCCAGTCAAATAAGGCAACCCATAGGCTGGGAGGGAGGAAACACTTGGTGCTGATGAGGAGACGCATGGCGCTGAAGAAAACTGAGGAAGGAAGGGAGAGTCCTGACTGCACGGGCGGGTACTGCTGCTAGCTGGAGGCACGTGGCTGCAGCTATACACTGCTGCCGCTCCTTCATTGTGGTTGTAGTCTATTGCTTCGCCAGGGCTCAGGCAGTATGTGTCTTTTCCAAAGTCTGAGGATAGGGCACTGTAGTTAGCTGAAGTTTCATCAATGGTGTTGACATCTTTTAATCCTAAAGTCTGCAGGACCCAGCTGTCCACAGCAGGGCTGACTTGCTCTTCACAGGCAGTGAATTCATTAAAGAGGTTCCTTCTAGCTTTGGAAGCATGAGGAGTTTCATGAGGAACAAAGCAGTGATCCTCTTTTAATCTTCTCTTGGGGCTTTTGAGAATAGCACAGGTTTTTTGGCCATGGCAGGATAGCAGTTTCTATTAAAACAAAAAAATGAGGTGGAGAGAGAAGATTAAAATCTGAATTTCTAGTTACCTGGAAGCAGCATGTTTCTGACCTCAGATTTTAGATGGGCAAGATGGTTACTACTGTCCTTATAAAAGATACTTTTTCTTCCACCTTGTGCTTAAACACATGGATATGCTTAACTATTTTTGTGCCATTACAGTTTCTGCAACAACCCAGTCCCTGAAAGAGAAGAATTTGACAATGTCAGTACAGCCTGTGCTTTGATTGCATTCTCACCCAGTATAGCGTGAAGGGAGAGCTCCTGCCTGGCTGTACGGCACTGCTCTGTGCTGGTGCTACCAGCAGCGTTTGGCAGGTGAGTGGGGCATGGGGGGGAACGTGGCAGCCTGACAAAGAGGGTGGATGTGAAGGTAAGTCATACTGGGGCAGGTGTGATCCTGGCCAGGGAGAGCTCAGAGCAGCAGACTGAGTGGCTTTGAGCTCATTAATCCACCTCAGTTGCCATTACCCCAGGACAAGGGTCCTTCAGGCATCCAGGGATGGTCAAAGGCATGCAGGAATAACAAGGAAGCTCCCCACCCTGTCATTGATTTACTGCTCGGCCACCTCTCCTGGCAGCTTCGCACTGGACCCTCCTCCATGTGACACAGATGGGTGGCCGGGTCTTCCTGCTGTGCCCACCGAAGAAGACCTTTTCTGCTGCCAGGAGCCAGGTCCTGCCATGGGAGGGGGGACATGCCATGCTGTCAACTTGAAATAGGATGTAAAAGGAAAGTCTGCTATTTTTTACATGTCTTATTACCTCATGCCCAATCCACAGAGCTGAGCAAATAATTAATAGATTGGTTTCATGGGCAAGTCTGGAATAGTAAAAAATATCTTTAAGTCAACAAGAAACAATTATCTTTATTTTGGGAGAGAGATGGGGAATGAAAATATTTAATTAAAAAAAGCCTTCACATTTAGTTTAACAAAATGTTTCATCCAACCTGAAGTGTTTAATTTTGTATTTCACCTTTACAAAACCACACAACTTTTTAATTAAAAAATTTGAAAAAAAAAAAAAGAGAAGCTCAGTATTCTACTGTAAATGAATAAAACGTACCATTGGAAGATGACAAAACAAAATATAAACCAGAAAACACCCAAAACAGAAAAAAAGGAAAAATTAATCCTCATCAAAAGGGTAACTGACAAAACAGACACATTCAAGAAATGTATGTTCAAATTTGAAAAAAAAAAAAGCTTTAGATGGAATAATTTTACCTTGCCTATAAACTTCATTTACGTATAGCTAACTTACTCATAAACTAAACTTAATTATGCCATGGGCTATACTGTCTCCACAGTCAGAACCTGACAGGATGTCATTCCTGAGGGAAACTGTCACCTTAGACCCATGAGCAGCAATTTGGCAGCTCTGTGAAGTTAAATAGATCTCACACTGCAGGTTGTCTACACTCCTAGACTTCCCACATATTTCAGTGGCAGGTACCTATTCAATCCGTTTCTCCTGCACACGTCTATACAACAGGTTTGAATCCAATACCTTGGCTTTTTCTTCTAAACACTTAATCAGGGCAGAATTCAGGTATTGTCGGAGGTTATTATTTTCTTCATGTAACCTAGCAAGTTCCTCTTCCTTCTGAAGCAAAGTATCTTGAAGCTGTGGAATAGAGATATTGATGAATAGATGTTGACTCTGTAACTTAATAGCAATTGCCCTATGGTACAGGCTGCTTGGATTTGATGATCTGGGTGTTTGCTTTGTGAACTCAACCCAGCCCCTCCAGCCTCTTGTCTCTGTAAATCTAAGAGGCATGACTGTTCAGTTTTCACTTTTGACTTCCTTTATTCTTTAGCGAGTGTTTGAGAAGATTACTCTGAAAAAAACCTGTAACCGCGGAATAATAACAGAAAAGAATTACAGGTAGGCCTGTGAACAGCCAGAAACAGTCACGGTCATGACAGCAGCTGCCGGATCTCCTCCCAAGCGGCACTAAGCACCCCTTTGCACCCCTCTCACTCCCATTTATAGTTGGCATGTGGGGAAACAGAGCAAGAGGAGCCGCAGACTAATGATTTATGGGGGTAGAGGGCAGAAGGAAGATGCAGCTGCCATTGTTTGATAACAGTAGTACCCAGTGATCCCTTCAATCCTGGACCCTACTGAGCCATTCCCAGTACATATACAGAGCTGAGATGATCCCTAAGAGCTAAACAGGTATGTTTTGACGTGCAGATGCCTAACACTTTTTCATGGGAAGTCTAAGTATTTGCAGAGATATTTTTGCCTCCTGATTGTAGCTCTGGAGACTCCTTTAAGAAGACAAAGGATCTTCTGCCAAGGACCCTGGGCATCTGCTGACCACAGGCTGAAAAGCACAGATTTAAATCATTGAGGTAAAGCTGAAGAAAGAAGTACGCTGATGTCTGAAACTAGGGTCTGATTTCAAGGACCTTGCAGTTAGTAAATGAATTTCCATCAACTTCACTGTGTCAAAATATTATTCCAAGTATTTGATCAGAGTGATCTGTCTGGGGTTCCTTCATCTAGGACTGTTCAGAGTTTCTCCCGCTCTTTGATGGGATTTACAAAAAAGTAAAGAAGAGAGAAAATAAAAGTAACAAGGAAATGCTTGTTGGTTAAAATGGTTGATCCTCCATATAAGTAGGTAATTCTGGTGGAATCGTTCCTCGTGAAGTTAATCCTGGTGGACTCAGGAGCCCACACACTATGTATTTCTGTCAATAGCATGAGGCTCTGCATCACCAGAGCCTGCGGGACTCCCTGGTCATGCCCGTGGTCTTCTCTAGCACCAAGGCAGCTGGTGCAGGTCGCTGTAAGAGAGGAGAGATGAACAGGGAACCCCGCAAGAGTTGTTCCAGCTTCACGGGACAACGTGGGGGAGACAAATGCTTCAAGCGAGGTACAGAAACCACCCCAAAAAATCAGTTTGCCACCGTTTCCCACGTCCGTGCCAGCGAGAGGGAGACGTGCCGTAAACCAGCCCAGAAGGTGCGGTACGGGATAGAGGGTTCAGGGACCTCGGGGGGAGAAGCCGAGGTTGCGGGGGGCGCGGAGCCTTTACCTGCTTGTTCCTGTAGAGCTGGGAGGACAGCTGGTCTCCC